ACTTCGAGCCTCATGTACACACTAGGCATCGAAAAATGCCTAGAAACTTTGACTCGTGATCGAGAACCGAATGATGATATTGAAGGCATGTTAGCAATATTCATTCCTAAAGGTAGACCTCTTGGTCAAGCACGATCATATGTCCTAACAGATCAAGAAAAGAATACAGCGCATACCTATATTCTATTGAACCGTGATGAGGTCACACCTTACACGGAGTAAGTTTTATAACTATCAAATATTATTACTATAAATTTATTCATTAACTATCATTCAATTTTAAAACATATAATAACAATATTTTTATCGTCGGATATTTTATCGATAACTTTATGAAAGTGACCCCGACATATTGAAAACGAGATTGATTTTCGACTTCAAAATCAATTTGCATCATGATTTAATCGATATGTGAGTATTGCTACTGTCAAGATTGTTATTAAATATTCATAAATTTATTTTATCAAATTTTATTATAACATTACCTTATAAGTAACTCGGTCCTTACATACAAGCAAGTCGAGCACAACCTAAAACTCGTAACGATCATTATATTAAAGATTTGGCCAAAAGACCATTGTGAACTGTGAAGTCATATGCGGGGTACATTATAAAAGGATATAAGTTTCATACCGATATTGGTGGCTCGGAGAGAACATCAATGTGTAGTGGAGTGTGTAAAAGGAGTTAGCTACGAGTGTGGTGAAAAATGACTACTACGGTAGGTTGATTGATATACTCGAACTTGAGTATCCAGCCTTACCAATAAAGAAAACTCGTTTTGTTCAAATGTGATTTGTATGATACGACATCCGAAATCGGTACACGAGTTCATAATCATTATGGACTAGTCGAGGTTCATAGTCCTGTGTATTCAAATAGATCCGATCCCTTCATACTAGGATCACAAGCGCATCGAGTGGATTATGTAATATATCCTACATGTAAACGTATACGATGAGATTGGTTGGAGGTATGTAAGGTTAAACCAAGACCGACGGTTGATGTGCCAAAAATGTCCGTTACCGTCGATCAAACCAATATCGAACCCTTTCAAGAAAATTAAATAGAAGGCCAACACAATGTCATGCACGTTGATGATGAAGGTCGGTCATTGATTGATCATACTCGGAGCATTATTAGAATTGGACGGTGGTGAAATAGATATTTAGAATGAATCGGAGTTAGAAACCGATGTCGAGGAAGACTTAGATGAAGAATGTGATAATGATGATAATGATACCGATTAGAGATAATATGGTATATCCTAGTAGATTATGTTATATTGTATTTTTTATTCAATTTATAAATTATGCACTTGGATTTTATGTACGTAATTGCAGTTCGAATTTAAGGGTTTAGGCAACCTTGTCCTTCCTAGGATGTTGGGATAGGCTGGTTTTGTCCCCCAAGTGTAATTTTTCAAACTATTTTAATAAATCTTCGTGGTACCGTCCTCGTTCTGTCACAAAAAAGGAAAAATTAGGTTTATTGTTATGTTTACCTACATAGTTAACTTATACTTTTTAAAGGTAAGATTTAATTAAATAAATATTTTTGATTTATTATTGTTTAAATATAAATCAATTTGTTCATATTAATTTAAATGTTATATGTAAGTATATATATATTATATAATTAATATTTTATTTTAAAACTATTGAATTTAATAATTAATACGTAGGTCATAATGACTCGAGGTAGGGATCGTGGTTCGGATATCGATCGGTTTGACGGTGATCGTGGACGTAGACACCCTTCTCATTTCGCTCACGGTCGGATGGATCCCCCACCGGACATGCCTCCATACCACTCTTCCGGTGTCCCCTCGACATCCCGTTCCATGCCTACCATGTCTCAACCTCGGCCATTTTCGTATTATGGACCTCCACGTCGACCTCCCTCATCTTTTCCTTTATCATTGTCGGTGCCTTTCTCATCACATTAGGACAACTGTTCCATTCCTCAACACGCTCAACCCTATAATGTCCCGCGTCAATCGGCTTCGGAACCAATCACATCCGCGGTTGACCATCGAGTACGGGTCATTATCGTTGGGCGCAATGAGTAAGATTTATGCTTAATTTAATTAAATATTTTTTATTACCATTATTATGTACTCGGTTATTTATGAATTTAATTAATATTTATTTTTTTATAGGTTATATCCCTTTGATATTTGCTCTTGCTCGATCGTTAAGACATTCCAAGAGTATGTTCATATTTCGGGATGGATGTGGAAGAAAATGAGTCCAAAGACAAAAGATTTTTACTTGGAAAGAATTTAAGGTTCTAATTTCTAAATTTTATTTGATTAATTATATTATTTAATATTTAATTAAATAGCATAAAATAATATGAAAATAAATTTAGTAATGTTTATTATTATTATTATTATTATTTTGCGAAATCATTTAAGTGGGATGATGATTTGAACGAGAGCATAGTTAAGAAAGCATGGGAAAGTCTCGCACGAAAGCGATATTCGACTTCCTTTGTCGTCTAAGGAAAAAACCGAAGCCAACATATATCTCATAGGAAATATGGGATGCATGGACTACGGAATGGATGAAAACCGAGGCCGTTGCTTGATCTCGAGATGACGAGCACGGAACCATAGGAGCGAGACCGATAGAGTCGGAGCTAATCCTTCTAGACATACGGGGGGATCAATTAGCCATAGAGAGCACGCCATACGCATGGTAAAAAATATATATTAATTTATTTATTTATAATTTTTTAAAAAATAATACCCAAAATAATTAATTAATTTGACTATTTTTAATACATTTACGTTTATTTATATATGTTTTCGGCGTAATGTGTTGGGTCGTGAACTTGATCCTTACGAGGTTTTCTTGAGGACTCATTAGAGAAAGGTTAATGATCGGTTAGTCTTCGTCGATCAACGGTCGAGGGTTATTGGAGTAAGTGATAACTTTGAAACATTATTTAATATTTGTTAGTTAATAACATTATTTGATATACGTATTTAATATGAAGTGTTTCACAATTATACGAGAGACCGTACAAAGATTAATTAATGAGGAAGAGGTTGTTAGCCGACGAGTCGGGAGGGGTCGAAGCGACCACACCCAACATTAATGACATCTTTCGGAGGGCCGTTGGTGGAGGAGATAGTAGGAGGAAGAGGATGTACGGACTCGAGTCACATGCATCTCACTATTATTCTATCGTCAATGTAGGCTCATCTTATGCTACTTCCGCATTCAATGCAGCTCGAAGGAATTATAGAGAGCAAACATCCGAAAACACGACGCACATCAATAACTTAGAGAGTATTGTCAACGACCTACGGGGCCAAGTGGCATCGTTGTTGGATACAACAAATGAGTTGAGAACCTATAGTCGACAGCGGTATACGATGATATCACGGATGCGGTAGATGTTCATGCGGCATTTTGATCGTGGTGGTAGTTCATCCATCGTTCCCGAGACCGACGACGACGCAACCCGGCCTCCGGACGACTCCACCCAACCTCCGACTAATCCCGGACATTAATTTATTTTAGCTTTTTCGTTTTCTTGTATTAACTGCAATCGATGTATTGTTTTTTGTTATTTAACAATAATTTAATTATTTAGCGACGTTTTAATACATTTTGAATAATAAAAATTTACGTTTATAATATTTTACGAGATTTTGGTTATTTTAAAATAGCTACTTTTACCTCATTTTATTATAGTCGTAAAAAAAATTATTTTTTCAATTCGCGACGGTCTTAAAAATGGTCTAGACCGTTGCTAAAGAAGAAAATATTAGCAACGGTCTAGACCGTCGCTAAAGACAAAAATATTAGACCGTTGCTAATCCGTCTCTATTTAGCAATGGCCATACCAAGGGTTTAACGGACCGTTGCTAATTTCGTAACTATTTATATCGACTTTTAGCGACGGACTAGCAATGATTTTGATCGTTGCTAACTTTGCAACGGTCAAAACCGTCTCTAAACAATACCAACGAGCTTTTAGCGACGGTCTAATGACCGTCGCTAATTAGTTGCTAAATCGTTTTCACAACGGTTTTTTATGTAGCGACGGTTTTACCCGTCGCTAATTTGCCTTTATCTTGTAGTGGTATATATCTTAAAAAAGATAACTAGAGATTGAGAATTGATTAGGATTCAGCTTCTGGAATTTTATATGCTAGCGTTAATAACGAAACTAAAGTGTCCAAGCAATGGTTTGTTCTCTTTCCCATTAGCTTAATGTGTTTTTTTTTTTGACGGGTCAATATTTTTTTACATCATTTTTAAGACAATGATCTAACTGCATGGTTATCACGAGTTAGGCTTCATTACAAAAAATTGAAAAAAAAATTGAAAAAGTGTTAAAAAAACAATTAAAAAATAATTTTGAAAAAGGCTAAAAGTGCTTTTTGTCTTTTATTTAAATAAATTTTAGAGTATCCAATACTTGAAATAAAGAAGAGAGTGATTGAATTAGATTTAAGGGAGTAGTAATTACGGTTATAACAAAATAATCAAATAATTAACCACTTGACTTTTTAAGAATGGACAATATAGAGTTTTGGAACAGACTAAATAGAAAAGTAGACATTATCTTTAAAACTTTTTATTAGCAACTACTCTTTTCATTCTTCATCAGCCATTTAATATTTTTAAATTCTACATCTCATCATTTATCACGTTATACATCAAATTTTGGATGAAAATTTAGTATATCATTTTCATGTTTTTTGTTTGCATCTTCAATTGCAATTAAGAAGATAAATGAGAACATAAGCCAGCAGGTTTGACTACAAGGGTTAGGATTTCTCAGGACTAATCAACGGTTTCAAACTACCTGCAATGAAGACCACAGCAAATACCTGAAATTACGATTAAGTTGACCCCACATTGTTATACTAATCACGCCATTACTCCCGGCCTTTTTTTGCCTTTATAACCCACTCCTAGCCAAGCCTAGCCCCTCACTCCCTCTTTTTTGTTTTCTCCTCAGAGAACAAGGAAAAAAAAATGTCAATTCTTGCAATCCTTCTGTTTTTCTCTGTCTCCGTTCTAGCACCACATTTTGTTTTCTCTTCATCAGTTCCGGACCCTGAGCTAGTAGTGCAGGAAGTACATAGGTAGAAATGCACATTATTTTTTTCAGTTACCGAAAACTATGTTTTATTCTTACGTATATATGCTGTGTATAATAGCATGCTAATAGCTTGTACGCTAAAAATTTGCTCACATTTTGTTGCTACAGGAGCATAAATGCTTCCAGGAGAAACCTTGGATATTTATCATGTGGAACTGGTAACCCTATAGATGATTGCTGGAGGTGTGACCCCAATTGGGAGAGGAATCGCCAACGGCTAGCTGATTGTGCCATTGGGTTTGGCAAGAATGCTATTGGGGGAAGAAATGGTAGAATTTATGTTGTGACTGACTCTGGTAATGACGATGCGGTGAACCCCAAGCCAGGAACTCTTAGGCATGCTGTGATTCAGGATGAGCCTTTGTGGATTATATTCAAGAGAGACATGGTAATTCGGCTGAGGCAAGAGCTGGTCATGAATTCTTTCAAGACTATTGATGGTAGGGGTGCTAGCGTTCACATTGCTGAGGGACCATGCATTACTATTCATTTTGCTACTAACATTATCATACATGGCTTACATATACATGACTGTAAGCAAGGAGGGAATGGTAATATACGGGACTCTCCCCGCCACTCTGGATGGTGGACTCCATCGGACGGTGATGGGATTTCCATCTTTTCTAGCCAGCATATTTGGGTTGACCATTGTTCGTTGTCCAACTGCCATGACGGACTTATTGATGCCATTCATGGATCTACAGCCATCACTATCTCCAACAACTTCATGACCCATCATGACAAGGTCATGCTGTTGGGCCATAGCGACTCGTATACACAAGACAAAGGCATGCAAGTTACTATAGCCTTTAATCATTTCGGCGAAGGGCTAGTGCAAAGAATGCCAAGGTAAATGAGAAATCTTAACAGTTGTTTACCCTTAATGTTTGACCATTCTTCTTTTAAATGATTTTTGCAACATTGTTCGTAAGTGCTTTTGAAAGCGTTTTACATGATATCAAATTATTGTACTTGCAGGTGCAGGCACGGGTACTTCCATGTGGTGAACAATGACTACACCCACTGGGAAATGTATGCCATTGGTGGGAGCGGTGCTCCGACGATCAACAGTCAAGGAAATAGATTTCTTGCACCAAATACAAGATTTAGTAAAGAGGTTGTTAGTACACAAATTTACATTAATCCAACCCTTTATTATATTATTATTATTGGGTTTCTTTTGTTTGTTTTGGTCTATGGGCGATTGTATTTTTGGGACAACGTTCAAGACGGAAACTAATCAAATCCCTTTCCAATTGTGTTGAACAGGCCATCCTCATGCGACCAGCGTATTCGTGAGATTTTTTTTAACGATCTTCTTTAATGTTAAAACCCCAGATAAATAATATGGAAAATAAACACATGCACTTATTGCTTAGGCTAACCCTTGAAGGGTCTAAATGTAACCCTGTCTTAATACACAAAAGAATTTGATTTGCTAACTTCAAAAATATAATTTTCACGCAGGTGACTAAACATGAGGATGCACCAGAGAGTGAGTGGAGACACTGGAACTGGAGGTCAGAAGGAGACTTAATGTTGAATGGTGCCTATTTCCGGCAATCAGGCGCTGGTGCTTCTTCAAGCTATGCAAAGGCTTATAGCATAAGTGCAAGACCATCTTCTCTTGTGGGTTCAATGACCCTGACTGCTGGTGCACTTAACTGCAGGAGGGGCTCTCATTGCTGATTATGGCCATGCTCGTATCATTTTAATATTATTAGCCATAGAAGGCGACCGAACGTGTGTGTGAGAAAGTCATAATTAGGCCATAATTACGGTCACGTAGTTTATCCTGCATCTTCAATTATAGTTTTTTCTTTTTGACTATCTAAATGTATTGACGACCTCTGTCGTCTGCTGTTGAAAATGTTGGAACTGTTGTAATCGCAACCCTTTGTTTTGTTAGAGAAAGTAAGAAAAGAGCAGAAGAGTTGATTTAGCCATGTTGGAACTGTTGTAATCGCAACCCTTTGTTTTGCTTTCCAATCTCTTGTTAGATTTGCTTATTAATTTTCACTTGGAACTCCGAACTTCCATGTTGACGAAAGATGACTCATGTTTCGTACTAATGAGACCACCATTTTTTCTTATAGACAATCAATGATAGACATTTGCACCAAGCTACAATATTTTTATGTTTAAAATCTACATTTGAGTGTTAAGTGTTATAGCTTAACTGGGATTATATTGTCAGCAATCAATTATGTGAGAGCCTCATTTGCCTACCATTGAGGTGGAAAGCTACCAAAAATATTCCAGTAGCTTAACAATACAACATTTGCCCTCATCAATTGTTACTATTCGAAAACCAAATTCAGTACTGTCGATGAAAACTCGAGCACCTAAAAGAAGTTGATGTTACGTTTTTTTTTTTTTTTTCATTTTTGTTAAGTTAAACATCGATAGGACTTTATAAGATAATGTGAAAAGGGAGAAAAACAGCAAATTCAAAGAGCAGAAAAACGCAACCACCAACAAACATTTTGCACCCCGTCAATCGTGGAGGGACACCTTCTAGTGGGCCTAAGCATGGAGGTCTAACTTTGCATAAGTTTTTAACATCCATAATGATGATGAATATCATGAGGGATTGTCGATTGTTGATTAACAATCCCAGCATGCAATCGCGTTCACAATCATTGTTTTCGGTTAGAAGCCACGTACAGTTCTTTTTTTCTTTCACCTTTATCAGCCACTGAGAAGTAATAATTATGATTTTTAGAAAATATATTTAAAAAAATAATTAAAATTTTGCGATTGAATAAATGTTTTATTTGCAGGTATTTTTTTAGAAAAACAAAACAATATATATACCTGGACATAACAACATATGCTTAAATTACCAATTAAATAGGAAAAATATAAGTTTATACTAGTCTATAAATAAAAGAGATTAATGATTGCAGAGATCTATCTACTCTTCTTCTTCTTCTTCTTCTTCTTCTTCTTTTTTTTTTTCATCTAGAGTTTCTTATCTATCTTTTTTTTCTCCTTAAATTTGTTTATCCATTAACTTTTTGACTAATGGTGTTAAATCATACCATTAGCCCCCACATGATTACGGCACATATCTATAAGTTTATACTAGTCTATAAGTAAAATGATTAATGGCTGCAAGGGTCTATCGATTTTTTTCTTCTTTATCACATTTTATAATTTTTTTTTTTCATCTTAATCTCTACTTTTGGTTTTCGTCTTAAGTTTGTCTATCCATTAACTTTTTCGAATAACAGTGTTAAATCACACCATTAGCCCCACATGATTACGGCAAACGTCAACTTCATTTTTTTTCTATCTTAATCTTGTCTTTTTATTTTTTTATATATATATCAAATTTAAATAAAAAAAATTAAAAATTAAAAAAAGTAAAGATATATTTGGTCATTCTCTCTAAAAATTGAACATAAAATAAAAGAATAAAAAAAGTGAAGATAAAAATATTTTTTATCAAAAATATTCTTTATAGGTTTAAATTCATTTTTATAATTGTAAGCATATTTTGACTATAAAATGGAATATTTTAGTATTTTTTTTAAAAATGTTAAGACACTTTTAGTTGCATTTTTAAATTGCATTTATAATTTATAATATAAGTTTAATATAATTTACTTATTTTTACCATTTAAATTTCTTCAGAAAAAAAAAAAAAACAAGTTGACTCATGTTGTAATCATGTATGGCTAACAGTATGATTTACTATCATTAGCCAAAAAAGTTAATAAAAAGACAAACTTAAGACAAAAATTAAATATAGGACAAAATTAGGGGAAAAAAAAAACCATAAAAGGATAAGATAAAGATGAAAAAAGAGCAAAGGGGCCTTGACATAATTTGGTCATTTTCTACATTTTTTTTATAGTATATATAGTCAGATTATTCTTATATCTAAAAAATAGAAAATGAAGAAATAATTTGGGAGGAAAATTTCCCTCTAACAAAATCATAATTTTGTAATATGAGACAAATAACACATCAAATTATTTTTTCATTTCTACTTTTTATTTTTTAACTGAATCTTATATATTTGTCTTAGTTGATTTTGTAATGTGAAATTTATTAATTTATTTAGTATTTTTGGTGAATACAACATTAATTGGAGTGAAAGTTTGTCTTTGGATTTCTTCACTAAATGTGGCAAAAATAGATTCTGTTGATGGGATATAATTGATCAAGAGTAGTTTGCTTTAATTCTTAGAATGAGTTTGGAAATAATAATAATAATAATAAAAAATCTGAATTGAGTCGGGTATTCAAAAGATGGAGGACCTCCTCCACCCACTTTCATGACCCAATCGGGTCAAGAGTAACGTCGGGTTATGAATGCAGATCTTTCAAGTTGGGGTGGATGGAAGAGACACCAACCTCGACTCGACCCATTGTCATCCCTATATGTAGGTTATGAGTGATTCAAAAGCTTATTTTATATTGTTTAAAATTTTAAGTGGTGTATAAATAGAAATTATGGAAAAATAAGATTGATTTATTTTTTAAGAATTCAAGAATTTTTTTAAACTTAATTTTCTTAATAAGAGAAAAGTTGAGATTAACATACTAGAATCAACTATGTTATAACGTTAGTTTTGTATTAATGATAAAATAATTAATCAATTTTTTAAGGAGTTTATGCTTGTATATATAGTTATGGATTTTAGTTTCTTTAGGATGTTAAAGCTAGCATAGTGTTTCATTATCATATGATTTAGTTTATTTTTATTTTTTTCAAATTATCCAATGTTTTGTTTTCCTTTATTAGGCCTATCTTAGTATTTCATTTTACATGTATAGTTTTTTAGTTCACACACATATCACGATTTTATATCTTTTATTTTATATTTTCATTTTATTTTATAGTCAATAATTTTAATATTGGATAGTGAAAAAAATTGTTAATATTATTTCAAAATTAATAAGAAAATACAGATTAATAAAAATTAGAACCACTATGAAATAATTTGAGTTTGAATAGATTTTATTACTTTCGTGGTAGCTAATAATAATTCTATCATTTAGTTTTATTATTGAGATAAAGGTTTTTTTTTGGTGTTCAACTTTTGATTTTTTTTTCTATTTCGATACCCAATCATCGATTTCCGGCGATTGGGCACCCGACCTTTGATTTTTTTTTTTCTATTTTGTTACTTGAAATTGTATGAAAAATAAATTTGGACCTCAATAATTATTTTATAAATTCCTTTTATTTTTAGTAATTTATTTTATATTTTATTTTCATTTTTAATTATATATTGTAGGTGTCCATGAATTTTTGTTTTATTATTAGTTTTGTTGTATCATTAGCTTTCACTTGTGTTTCAATTTATCATTCCATCACAAAAAAAATAAAAATAAAAATATGAAACAAAAACAAAGAGAAAAAAAAAAAGCAAAAAAATTAGAAAAGAGAAGATGAAAAAAATTGAAAAAGAAAAAATTAATTAATTTTAGATTTTTATTAAGGGTTTTAATTATGAATAATTTAAAAATTGTGTGGGTCAATCCACATCTCATGGATCAACTTTGTTAGCATCTTTAAGCATATCAACATCTCATACATAAACCTTATCACTCCAATACTCAAAACAAAAACACAAGATAACAAAATTTATCCTTACCATCTCTTGATTACCTCTACTCCTAATCTTATAAGGACAACACATAAAAAACATGCAAATGAGAGAGAAGAAGGGGACAAGGTGAAATGTCCTTTACTCATCAAAAGAAAAGGGATGGGATAGAGAGAGGAAGATTTAAGGGTGGAGTATGAAGCTTCGGTAAGATAAAAACCAAGAGAAAGGAAAGAGGAAAGGAGATGGGGGGTAGCATTTTGAAGGGTGGCTAGGTTTTTTGAGAGAGATGGAGTGAGAGAAAGAGAGAAAAGAAAAATAAAAAGTATAGAGCTTGGAGAGGAAGAAAGGAAGAACAAGTAAAAAAGAAAAGAGAAACTACCATCCAAGCATCCCGATAAGTTTGAAAGAAGCTAATCTATCAACTTCGTGCTTCTTAACCATTTTTGAAGCTTAATAGGTAATCATTTACTATTTTTACTTCATCACTTTTCAATCTTAGTAGGTAAAAATGTATTTGGATTTTCATTGATGTTAATGGATCTCATAGTCAACCTAAACCCCAATAAATATGATTTCTAGCTATGTTTTGTGTGTTTAACATAGCACTCGGATGTTTTTGTTTTTTTTCTAAAATTTTTTATAAAAAAACCATATATTTTTATCTTTTCCATGTGTGAAATTTCATATCTTTATGATATAAGATGATTGTCTATTTAAATCATCTTGTTAGCCACTATAGTTTTGATTTTTCATGTCAAAATTAGTTATTGCCATATTTTACATGTTTGATATAGTATTAAATATTTTTATTTTTTGAATTTTTAATGATAACGCCATCTATTAGTATCCTATATATGTGTAAAATTTTAGATCTTTATCATATAGGATGGTTTTTCATTTAAATTACTTTGTTTTCCACTCGCAGTATTGAGTTTTAAAGTTTAAGTTAGTTACTATCGTGTGTTACATGTTTGGTATACCCTTATATACTTTTACTTCTTGATTTTTTTTAATATGAATAACATCTATATATATCTCATTAGTCTGTGAAATTTTAGATTTTTATCACATAGGATGGCCATCATTTAAAATCTTTTTTTTTTGTATCGACAGTGATTTCTC